GTAATTAACGGAAGGCGCTTGCTAGCACATAGTTCCAAGACAGTATATAGCACAAATGTGAGCTCTAGAGAGGCCAAGTCCACATCTAATGGCTCTCTACATTACTGGCCTCCAATTTAAGAGCTCTCGTAAAACACTATTTCATGAACTATGACGTTTTGTAGCAACTCTGATCATTTGATTAAAACTATTGTGTAATAATCTTCCTGGTTTATATCTGAATAGTAAAATCCACAGAAAAACTTAATGTCAATATTTACAAAACAGCTGAGAATTGAATGACGAGCCGCTCTTCCTTGTCCTTAAAAAAAAAAAAAAAAAAAAGCAGGGTGAACTAAAATTTTAATAAAACGGAATGTTCATCAAAATCAGCCCTCTCAGGGCTGGGGACATAGCTCAGTTGGTCGAACCCTTGCACAGCATTCATAAGGACCCAGTCACAATCCCCAGTGCCACAGACACCAGGCACAGTGGTAGCAGGTACCTGGAACCCCAGTACTCATAATGGAAAAGGGAGGATCAGAACTTCAGTCACTTCTAACTAGACAGTGAGTGCTTGGCTAGTCATATCAAAATCTGTCATGTGAACAGTATTTCACTAGAAGGAAGGGAGGGAGGGAGAAAGAAGGGAAGTGGGGAAGGAAAGGAAAAGGAAGGGCATTTTTTATTGGCTGGGGCAGGAGGAAAGGGCCACAGGGGAAACTTTTGAATTACTTTTTCCTTTACATTTTCACTACCATGTCAAGCTGTAATATACAAGCATAAAAGGAATGTTCACATTAAAAACATCTAAATTAAAAGTAAAGTAACTGTGGTGGCTTTTAAAGCCACGATTTAAAATTGAATAACAAAAAACAAAAATCTAAGATGTTAGAAAGATAAAAATAAAACTTTCTCATTCATGTATGAAGTTACAAAGCTTAGCTAAAAGACTGTCATTGGTTAGACAATTATAAATTTCACATGAAGTCAAAAGAATTTTAAATCTACTAGTAAACGATTTGACTATTAAAAATTGCCAGACTCCACTCAGTACTTATCCAGTTATGCACAAGTCACAATTAATCTTCCTCCCAAACCCATGGGGTCCACACCTATTATTAGTCCCATTTTAAAACAGATGTTACTTGAAATGGAAATTAGTATCCATATGGCAGGAACTGAGGTTCAGAGGGGTGACACAACACGTCATCCGAGACCACACCTAGACCAGAGTCAAGTCACCGTGCTGGGGACTTTCTTGCTACGTAACCTGAAAAGAAAATGGAGGATTTAGGGAAATCCAAGAAGAAAGAGGGCCTACGTTCTGGTTCTGTCGGCTTCTTGCACTGTGTGCCCTAGAATCCTCATGCTAAATGCATTTTCAGAAGTTAATCTCTTCCACTTGCCTGTGTATAAAGTTAAAAATCCAACTCAAAACTCAAGAACTGGGCATAGGTATATGTAAGCATGGCTTCCTGGGTACCTTTTGTTTGTGTGTGTG